GGTGGGGGGGCTGCCCCCCAATTTGCAACATATAGCCATTGCTCCACCCCCCCCACCCCAACCTCTTTCACTGTGGAGAGAGAGGCAAACAATAACTCCCTAGATGGAGCTTGATTATTCCCCCCGCCCCCAGCTTTACATAGGAGAGACCAGGGAGATGGGGAGGCCGATTGTAGAGCTGAGGGATGGGGGAGATACTAGAGAGACTAGGGTGTTGGGGGGCGGGGGGCTGGAGAGACTAGGGAGATGTGAGGGTGGGGGGGAGCTGATTGTGGGGCTAGGTATCAGAGGGGTAGCCATGTTAGTCTGTATCCACAAAAACAATGCGGAGTCCAGTGGCACCTTAAAGACTAACAGATTTATTTGGGCATAAGTTTTCATAGGTAAAAAGCCCACTTCTTCAGATGCATGGTAAAACCCCCACTTCTCTGTGCATCTGAAGAAGTGGGCTTTTTACCTATGAAAACTTATGCCCAAACAAATCTGTCAGTCTTTAAGGTGCCACCGGACTCCTCCTTGTTTTTGTGGAGATCCTGGAGAGACCAGGGAGATGGGGAGGGAGATCCTGGAGAGACCAGGGAGGGCGGGGGGAGGAAGGGAGACACTGGAGGTACCAGAGAGCTGGGGGGGGCGGGGAAAGAAGGGAGATACTGGAGGTACCAGAGAGCTGGGGGAGGGGGAAAGGGAGGTATTGGAAGTACCAGAGAGCTGGGGGAGGGGGAAAGGGAGGTATTGGAGGTACCAGAGAGCTGGGGGAGGGGGAAAGGGAGGTATTGGAGGTACCAGAGAGCTGGGGGGGGGGGAAGGGAGATATTGGAGGTACCAGAGAGCTGGGGGGGGAAGGGAGATACCAGAGAGCTGGGGGGGGGAAGGGAGATATTGGAGGTACCAGAGAGCTGGGGGGGGGAAGGGAGATATTGGAGGTACCAGAGAGCTGGGGGGGGGGAGATACCAGAGAGCTGGGGGGGGGAAGGGAGATACTGGAGGTACCAGAGAGCTGGGGGGGAGGGAGATACCAGAGAGCTGGGGGGGGGGGGGAAGGGAGATACTGGAGATACCAGAGAGCTGGGGGGGGGAAGGGAGATACTGGAGATACCAGAGAGCTGGGGGGGGAAGGGAGATACCAGAGAGCTGGGGGGGGGAAGGGAGATATTGGAGGTACCAGAGAGCTGGGGGGGGGGGGAGATACCAGAGAGCTGGGGGGGGGGGAAGGGAGATACTGGAGGTACCAGAGAGCTGGGGGGGGGAAGGGAGATACTGGAGGTACCAGAGAGCTGGGGGGGGAGGGAGATACCAGAGAGCTGGGGGGAGGGGGAAGGGAGATACCGGAGGTACCAGAGAGCTGGGGGGGGGGAAGGGAGATACTGGAGATACCAGAGAGCTGGGGGGGGGGGAAGGGAGATACTGGAGATACCAGAGAGCTGGGGGGGGGGGAAGGGAGATACCAGAGAGCTGGGGGGGGGGGAGATATTGGAGGTAGGAATGTAGGAATGATATCAGGAGGGCCAAATCGCACCTAGAGCTGCAGCTAGCCAGAGATGTCAAGAGTAACAAGAAGGGTTTCTTCAGGTATGTTGGCAACAAGAAGAAAGCCAAGGAAAGTGTGGGCCCCTTACTGAATGAGGGAGGCAACCTAGTGACAGAGGATGTGGAAAAAGCTAATGTACTCAATGCTTTTTTGCCTCTGTTTTCACTAACAAGGTCAGCTCCCAGACTGCTGCGCTGGGCATCGCAAAATGGGGAAGAGATGGCCAGCCCTCTGTGGAGATAGAGGTGGTTAGGGACTATTTAGAAAACCTGGACGTGCACAAGTCCATGGGGCCGGACGAGTTGCATCCGAGAGTGCTGAAGGAATTGGCGGCTGTGATTGCAGAGCCATTTGAAAACTCGTGGCGAACGGGGGAAGTCCTGGATGACTGGAAAAAGGCTAATGTAGTGCCAATCTTTAAAAAAGGGAAGAAGGAGGATCCTGGGAACTACAGGCCAGTCAGCCTCACCTCAGTCCCTGGAAAAATCATGGAGCAGGTCCTCAAAGAATCAATCCTGAAGCACTTGCATGAGAGGAAAGTGATCAGGAACAGCCAGCATGGATTCACCAAGGGAAGGTCATGCCTGACTAATCTAATCGCCTTTTATGATGAGATTACTGGTTCTGTGGATGAAGGGAAAGCAGTGGATGTATTGTTTCTTGACTTTAGCAAAGCTTTTGACACGGTTTCCCACAGTATTCTTGTCAGCAAGTTAAGGAAGTATGGGCTGGAAGAATGCACTATAAGGTGGGTAGAAAGCTGGCTAGATTTTCGGGCTCAACGGGTAGTTATCAATGGCTCCATGTCTAGTTGGCAGCCGGTATCAAGTGGAGTGCCCCAAGGGTCGGTCCTGGGGCCGGTTTTGTTCAATATCTTCATAAATGATCTGGAGGATGGTGTGGATTGCACTCTCAGCAAATTTGCGGATGATACTAAACTGGGAGGAGTGGTAGATACGCTGGAGGGGAGGGATAGGATACAGAAGGACCTAGACAAATTGGAGGATTGGGCCAAAAGAAATCTGATGAGGTTCAATAAGGATAAGTGCAGGGTCCTGCACTTAGGACGGAAGAACCCAATGCACAGCTACAGACTAGGGACCGAATGGCTAGGCAGCAGTTCTGCGGAAAAGGACCTAGGGGTGACAGTGGACGAGAAGCTGGATATGAGTCAGCAGTGTGCCCTTGTTGCCAAGAAGGCCAATGGCATTTTGGGATGTATAAGTAGGGGCATAGCGAGCAGATCGAGGGACGTGATCGTTCCCCTCTATTCGACATTGGTGAGGCCTCATCTGGAGTACTGTGTCCAGTTTTGGGCCCCACACTTCAAAAAGGATGTGGATAAATTGGAGAGAGTCCAGCGAAGGGCAACAAAAATGATTAGGGGTCTGGAACACATGACTTCTGAGGAGAGGCTGAGGGAGCTGGGATTGTTTAGCCTGCAGAAGAGAAGAAGGAGGGGGGATTTGATAGCTGCTTTCAACTACCTGAAAGGGGGTTCCAAAGAGGATGGCTCTAGACTGTTCTCAATGGTAGCAGATGACAGAATGAGGAGTAATGGTCTCAAGTTGCAGTGGGGGAGGTTTAGGTTGGATATTAGGAAAAACTTTTTCACTAAGAGGGTGGTGAAACACTGGAATGCGTTACCTAGGGAGGTGGTAGAATCTCCTTCCTTAGAGGTTTTTAAGGTCAGGCTTGACAAAGCCCTGGCTGGGATGATTTAACTGGGAATTGGTCCTGCTTCGAGGACCAATTTGGACGAGATGACCTTCTGGGGTCCCTTCCAACCCTTATATTCTATGATTCTATGATTCTAGGTACCAGAGAGCTGGGGGGAGGGAAGGGAAGGGAGATATTGGAGGTACCAGAGAGCTGGGGGGGGGGAAGATATTGGAGGTACCAGAGAGCTGGGGGGGGGGGGAAGATATTGGAGGTACCAGAGAGCTGGGGGGGGGGGAAGATATTGGAGGTACCAGAGAGCTGGGGGGGGAAGATATTGGAGGTACCCAGAGAGCTGGGGGGGGGAAGATATTGGAGGTACCCAGAGAGCTGGGGGGGGGGGGAAGATATTGGAGGTACCCAGAGAGCTGGGGGGGGGGAAGGGAGGTACCAGAGAGCTGGGGGGGGGAGGGAAGGGAGATATTAGAGGTACCAGAGAGCTGGGGGGGGAGGGAAGGGAGATATTAGAGGTACCAGAGAGCTGGGGGGGAGGGAAGGGAGATATTGGAGGTACCAGAGAGCTGGGGGGGGGAGGGAAGGGAGATATTGGAGGTACCAGAGAGCTGGGGGGGGGGAAAGGAGATATTGGAGGTACCAGAGAGCTGGGGGGGGGGGGGAAGGGAGATATTGGAGGTACCAGAGAGCTGGGGGGGGGAAGGGAGGTACCAGAGAGAGGGGGGGGGGAAGGGAGATACCAGAGAGCTGGGGGGGGAAGGGAGGTATTGGAGGTACCAGAGCTGGGGGGGGGAGGGAGGTATTGGAGGTACCAGAGAGCTGGGGGGGGGAGGGAAGGGAGATATTGGAGGTACCAGAGAGCTGGGGGGGGGGGGAAGGGAGATACCAGAGAGCTGGGGGGGGGGAAGGGAGATATTGGAGGTACCAGAGAGCTGGGGGGGGGGGAGGGAGGAGAGATGAGATACCGGGAGCTACCAGAGAGCTGGGGGGGGGAGGGAGGGAGATGATTGGAGGTACCAGAGAGCTGGGGGGGGGGGGGAGGAGAGATGGGAGATACCGGAGCTACCAGAGAGCTGGGGGGGAAGGAAGGTACCGGAGAGCTGGGGGGGGGGGAAGGGAGGTACCGGAGAGCTGGGGGGGGGGAAGGGAGGTACCGGAGAGCTGGGGGGGGGAAGGGAGGTACCGGAGAGCTGGGGGGGGGGGGGAAGGGAGGTACCGGAGAGCTGGGGGGGGGGGGGGAAGGGAGGTACCGGAGAGCTGGGGGGGGGGGGGGGGGGGGGGGGGGAAGGGAGGTACCGGAGAGTGGGGGGGGGAGGGAGGTAAGGGGGGGGGGGAAGGGAGGTACCAGAGAGCTGGGGGGGGGGGGGGGAAGGGAGGTACCAGAGAGGGGGGGGGAAGGGAGGTACCAGAGAGCTGGGGGGGGGGGGAGGGGGGGGGGAAGGAGATATTGGAGGTACCAGAGAGCTGGGGGGGGGGGAGGGAGGGAGATATTGGAGGTACCAGAGAGCTGGGGGGGGGGAGGGAGGAGAGATGAGATACCGGAGCTACCAGAGAGCTGGGGAGGGAGGGGAGATACTGGAAGTACCAGGGAGCTGGCGGGGTGGGGGGGGAACCACAAGTGCCAGCGAATGCCCCCTTCCCCTGGCGCTTCCCACTCTCATCACCACCACGGCATCGAGCCCCCGCAGCGGTACAGAAGCGGTCTTGTTATTAGCATCCTCCCCCTGCAGCCCCGGGGCGCAGGGATCGAGCCCCGGGCCCCGCCTGGCTGCTCTCCGCCGCCGCCCAAGTGACTCACGGCTTTGAGCTGCTCCAGCCGATCCTTCATGGTGCCCGCCGCTCCTCCCAGCAGGTGCAGGCTCCCCGGGCGGCCGGCTTCGCTCCAGGAAGTCCTCGCGCCCGCAGAGGCCCGGGGGACGGTTCTTCGCCTTCTCCCCGCCCAGGCTAGAGAGGGGGTGGGAGGCTCATTAGCCGAGGAAAATAACCCAAGACCCGTGCCCTCCTCCTTAATTTTTGGCCTCCCGGCCTCTGCGCGCGGCCGTGCACAGCGGATTCCCCGGCGCTGCTGCGCTGGCCTGGCCTGGCCCCAGCTGCTAATCCGCAATGACATACATAGGGAGGGGGTAGGAAAGACAGGGAGGGGAGGAGGGGGAAGACGGGAGCCTCCCACTTTACCTGTGCAAGAATCTGCTGTCCCACAATCTCTTAAAGAGCCAGGAGAGAGACAAGGGTGAGGTAGCCGATGAAGTGAGCTGTAGCTCAGGAAAGCTTATGCTCAAATAAATGTGTTGGTCTCTAAGGTGCCACGAGTCCTCCTTTTTTTTTTTTTTTTTTTTTTCTGGTCTCTCTGGCAGAAGTTGGGCCAGTCAAAGCTATTCCAGTACTTCCCTCACCCTGTCTCTCTAATGACCTGGGATCCACGCAGCTACAACTAGAAAAGAGACAGGGGGTTGGACTAGCTGACCTCCTGAGGTCTCTTCCAGCCCTGATCTTCTGTGGTTCTATGACAGGTTTCAGAGTAACAGCTGTGTTAGTCTGTATTCGCAAAAAGAAAAGGAGTACTTGTGGCACCTTAGAGACTAACCAATTTATTTGAGCATGAGCTTTCGTGAGCTACAGCTCACTTAGCTCACGAAAGCTCATGTTCAAATAAATTGGTTAGTCTCTAAGGTGCCACAAGTACTCCTTTTCTTTTTGTGGTTCTATGACACAGTCAGGCCAGACTGGGCCCCAAGCTCAGCCCTGATCAGAACCAAAGAGCTCAGAGAAACCTCTCCTGCCATCTTTTCGGCTTGTACTTGGAGGGGAATTTTTAAGAGAGCCAGCCTTTGCAACCAAGGGCTTGAGAAACTGAGGCTGAAACTGACCAGGGATCACCTGGTGCCCCAGGTGCCTTGTCTGCTTTCACAGAGGGAAAGGCCCAGAACAAACATGCCATCAGAAAGCTGTTAAAATTCCTTCCGGTTTAATCATTTCAGAGGCCAGTTGCTAAGGCAGGGAAGGAAATTGGGATTCCAGGCAGGCAATCCGAACCCTGCGCCCCCATGGATTCCCTGGCTCTGCCTGCACAGGGCTCATTGCAGGATCAGGACCTTGGCATTTGGGGTTGCGTTTGTTTGTTTCCAATTCAAAGTGTATAACTGAGTTTTTCTTTAAAGGTCCAGCTGACAGCCTGATTCTGGGAGGGACTGATCCCCAGCTCCTATGAAAGCCATAGGATCTCAGCACCTTTCAGGTTTGAATCCTTAGAATCATAGAATCATAGAATATAAGGGTTGGAAGGGACCCCAGAAGGTCATCTAGTCCAACCCCCTGCTCGAAGCAGGACCAATTCCCAGTTAAATCATCCCAGCCAGGGCTTTGTCAAGCCTGACCTTAAAAACCTCTAAGGAAGGAGATTCTACCACCTCCCTAGGTAACGCATTCCAGTGTTTCACCACCCTCTTAGTGAAAAAGTTTTTCCTAATATCCAATCTAAACCTCCCCCACTGCAGCTTGAGACCATTACTCCTCGTTCTGTCATCTGATACCATTGAGAACAGTCTAGAGCCATCCTCTTTGGAACCCCCTTTCAGGTAGTTGAAAGCAGCTATCAAATCCCCCCCTCCTTCTTCTCTTCTGCAGGCTAAACAATCCCAGCTCCCTCAGCCTCTCCTCAGAAGTCATGTGTTCCAGACCCCTAATCATTTTTGTTGCCCTTCGCTGGACTCTCTCCAATTTATCCACATCCTTCTTGAAGTGTGGGGCCCAAAACTGGACACCTTAGTGGTGAACTGCAGGGAAAAATAAATTGAGCGTGTGACTTTCTTTACTTTTCTGTAATGTATAAAGAAAGTGGAAAGGAGAAAAAGGGAGGAGGAGAGTAGGGCTAATGTGAAAACTGATTGAGACAGGGAATTATTTTGATTCAAGATGCTTAAGACTGTGTGAGGGACTGCACAGCCCAGCCCAAGGAAGAGGAAGCAAAGATGACTTTAAATAATTTTTGGGCCCCTCTTGGTTCTGGGCCGGTCAGGAGCCAGAATAGCTCCTAGCATAATTTAGGCACCCCAAGGTTATGGCAGCCCTGTGACCCAGAGCAGCCATAAAGTTGTGCACTGAGGCTGGGCAGGTTTGGCCCGTGGTTTGGGTGTTAAATGGAGACCCACACTGAATTCTCTGCTCTGCCACAGACTTCTTGTGTGACCTTGAGCAAGTCATTCAGTCACTCTGTGCTCACTTTCCCCATCCATACAATGGGGATAATAGCACTGCCCTGCCTCAGAGAGGTGTGTGAGAATCAATACATTAAAGTCCGCGATGTGTTCAGATACTAGGGTGGTAGGGGCCATATAAGTATATTAGATATGAAATATGCTTCTGCCCTGCCCCGCTTCTGTCCCCAGGGCTTGTAAGAAAGCCTGTGTAGGGCTGGTCCTATGCGATGCCTGCCCCCAGAGAAATTCTTCTTCCTAGGAACTAAGGGGTTTTTCTAGGGGGTTGCACATGTTGTTGCTTGTGTCAGCTGAGCTTATTCACCCCAGGGGCTCCTTGCATCCCTCCACTCTCCCCAACAGCTCCCTGGATGCCACCCTCCCATCCCCCTCTATTGCAGGGATTCCCTGAACACCCCAGTCTCCCCCAGCTAGGGTTTCTGTGTGGCCCCATACCCCCCTCCTCCCACACCAGAATCCCCCATTTTTCTACCATGCTATTGGCTTTCCGTGAACACCCAGTCCAATATCCTCCATGCCCCCATTGTCTGAATGGCAGGGGCTCTGTGTGCTCCTCCATTGCCATCTTTCCCCTCATAGTCCCCATTCCCTTTTTCTCCCAGTCTCCAGCAGTTCCCTGTGCTCCCATTCCCTCCTTTCCCTATACCAGGGTTCCCATGGCAAGGGCTCTCGTGTGCACCCCCTTACCCACTTCCTCCCCATGTCAGGAGCTCTGTCTGCTCCCCATTTCCCATCTTACTAAGCCCTTTGACTCTGTAAACTGAGATGGCCTGTGGACAGTCCTCCACAAGTTCAGTTGCCTTGGTAAGTTTGTCAGTATTATTAAATCTTTCCATTCAGGAATGCACGTTCATGTCCTTCATCAAGACTGCTTCTCAGCTCCCTTTGTTGTCACCAATGGAGTAAAACATGGCTGTGTTCTTGCTCCAACACTATTTGGCATCATGTTTGCAGTTGTTATAGCAGATGCGTTCAGAGACATTGATTGTGGCATTTATGTGCAGTACAGTGTAGATGGAGGTATCTTGAATATGCATTGCCTGCCTGTGAGGACAAAAGTTATGAAGACAATTATTCATGAACTGCTGTTCACCGATGATTGTGCTTTTTTGGCCCAGGAACATTCAGTTGCTCACTGACTGCTTTGCGTTTGCCACAAAATGTTTTGGCTTAACTATCAGCCTAAAGAAGACAGAAGTCATGGTCCAGACTTGACTAGGTCATACCGCAGCTACTCCATTTGTGGCCATCAATGAGGTTGTTGACAAATTTTGACAGGCAATGTCGTTTAACAAGATGCAATGACTGACAACAGCATTACCAAGCACATTGGTACAGCAGCGATGCCTTCAGAAATCTTCGTCATTGTTTCTGAAAAAACAGTGTCAAACTGTAAACACAAATGGATGTTAACTGTGCCATTGTCATCACCACATTCCTCTACTGCTGCAATATGTGGACTTCTTATCAACACCATCTAAGATACTTGGACCAATTCCACCTATGATGTCTATGGTGGATAATGGGAATAAAATGGTAAGATTTGGTTCCAAATGTTGTCAGAAGTGTGGTGCTCTGTTCTGTTCAATGTTGACAACAGTCAGCTGCATGCATGTGTTCCCTCTCTGTGCTGCCCCAGCTCCGCAGATCGCTGACACAACAGACCCCGAGAGAACCCCCAATGACCACAGATTCTGATAAGGTATGAAGGCATCCGGCCAGGCTTATTGCCAAATGAAACACAGTCTCTAGCTCCCTGGATCAGATATCTACAGTTCTGCTAGTACATATGTACTCCCTGACAGTGGACCGGCTCAGTCAGTGGCGGGATTTACCACTGCCCCCTAGGCCAGACAAAGACATCCACTGAGGGATTCTTATACACAGGTACAAACAAGTTACACATCACTCCTGACGCGTAGAGGTGCAGCCCCTCTACGTGTTAGGGTGCCGCCTCTCACAAAACAACTCTAACATATTACCTTCCTGCCCCTGTCCTTAGGATAGGTCAGCCTGTTCCTGTTATCTGTGGGGAATATGCTAGTACCGGAGTATTCTGGTACCATCGTGGCACATGTTTCCATAACTAGTGCCCAGTACCTATTAGGTATGTGTAATTTTGCACCATCAGCACAGATTCTGTGAGCAGGGCCTGCCTCTGGCTCACAGCTGAACTTTGTTTTATGTTAGCAAAGTCTTAACCATTACTTTAGTTCGGGCCTTAGGCTTCATACCAGGCCTCTGATGCAAGAGTCTATGTTTCAGGGCCTCATCTTACTACACCAAACATTGAGGTTCTTGAGTGCTGCAACATCACAGTCATTGAAGCTTTTATCATAAGAGCGCAGCTGGGATGGTGTGGTCCATATGTCTGCCAGTAGAATACCGAAGGCCTTTTACAGAGAATTGTAGACTGGAACTTGTGTTAGGGGCAGAGCAAGAAAATGTTACAAAGACACTCTCAGGGTCAACCTCCAATCTTGCAATGTTGACCTCAACACTGGGGAGCTCTTAGCTCACGACAAGGTCCAATGGTGGCAGTTCTGCCACTTTGAGAGCTCATGGATTGCTGCAGTCAAGGAGAGACATGTGAGGTGTAAAGCTAAAAGCAACCCACATATATCTACATTTGTCTTCACCTGTGGCATCCGTGGACAGGATTGCAGGTTCCACAACTGGTCTTTGATCTACAATAAATGACATACAAGACCTACAATAAGTCATTGCGGCTCATCTGTCAGACTTGGTGGGAAACTCCATCATAACTATGCCAGCCCAGCTCCCAAGTGTAGGTGCAGCCTGCATTGATAGGAGTTTTTCTGTTGGTGTAGGAAAACCACCTCCCCAAATGGTATTAGTGACGTCAATGGAAGTGCTCTTCCATCGACATAGCTGCCTCTACAC